CGACAAGGGTCCTGTCTTGGCGCGGGGAGTTCGTAAGGTAGCAGGAGGATTTTGGTCCGTACTGAGGGCACTCGCTTTAATTTGATTTTCAAAAAAGGCACGCGTTTGGGAGACGTGATGGTAGTCGTTCGGGAGTCGTGCTGCAGATGCTTTTATTGTGAGGAGACGTGCGCTGACACCCTATCAGTTTCGAGAAGATGCGTGCTGACGCCTCGTCATCTCTGACAGGACGTGCGTGATGCCTCATCAGTTTCGGAAAGACGTGCGCTGGTCGGCTTCGGAAGACGTGCGGTTAGCGCGGCTGTGGGCTGTTGGATTGGCTTCGATCTGGGCCGTCACTTTCCGGCCGCTATGGATATAAATAGCGGGGGGGGGGGCCCAGTCCTTGCCACTGTACCTCTTGAGTTCGCGCCAAAGTTTTAGTTCGCGTCCAGGCTCTTCAGCTCGCGTCCCAGGTTCCTTGCTTGTTCGAGCTTTCGTGGTCTACTTCAGTCTTCTTCCCGGGTGAGTGCTCTTGGAATCCCGTTCCATTCCCTGATGTCTAGTTCGAAGGGTCCAAACAGTTCAGGCGGGTCTGATGCAGGTTCTACGAACCAATTTGCGTCCCCCGGTAGTTCAAGTGAGCCCGATGTAGGTCCTGAGGAAGAGGTTGAACCTACAAGCCGAGGTGCCTCGGGTAGGTCGGCATCCACCTCCCGTCGTGAACGGGCTTTAGATCAGTTCGGCCCTTCAACTATGACGCCTGAGGGACTTCAATCCCTCATAGACTACTACAACTTACCCGGGGAGCACGCCTACTTCATCCCTACGGGTAGCTTCCCTTGGGAACACGGTCCTGATGAAATCGTGATTTTCCGGGAGCAGCTCGCTGCGGGGCTGCGACTGCCTTTCTATCCTCTTCTCGTCGAGGTTCTAAACCACTTCGGTGTGACGGTCGGCTAGCTTCACCCGAACTCCRTTAGGAATTTAGTGGGGACGATCTCCTTATTCTGTGACGAGAACTTTCCTTTGGATTTGGAGATTTTTTCCTCTATTTTAATGCTGAAAAATCAAGCGGGTCCCCTTCCTGGGCGTTGGCAGGCGTACTACCTGTCTCCTCG